GATCTGCCTCACACTATATTTTCTTTTCTTTTTTTTTTTTAAAGATTTATTTGTTTATTTATTTATACAAGCACTGGGTTCAAAAGAGCGGGAGGGTGAGAGAATTCACCAGAGCCAGAGCGGGGAGCAGAGCAGGCAGAAGGACTGAAGTACACTGCTGAGGGGAGCAGCGGGCGGCAGGAGAGGTCTGCGCACCATGTGGGACCCTCCTCTCGTGGCCGGGGAGCATCCGGGGATCAAACTGGCGCTGCAGAGGCTGCAAGCAGCCCCGCAACCCAGCGCTCAACCGCTGCGCCACCGGGGAGGCCCTATATATTTTTAAGTATGCTTTCAGCTCTCCGAATTGGGTTGTACTGACTCACCTTTGGTTTTCCACATGTGCTTTTGCTCTGCCTTGCACAACTTTTCCCCATTAAATGAGATTATGGGAGTGGGGGCAGCAGGACTCTATATTCTTCAAACTCCTCAAATGATTCTGATAATAAGGTTCTAGAACCATGGGTGACACCTCCTATGACAATTTCCTTTTACACCTTACTTCTCTACCCCTCACACATGCTATTTGTGCCCTTGGCCCCTTCTCTATAATATCTTTCTCTTATCATTTACTACACTGTACCACAGTGACCTCTCCTGTGATCTGAGGCAGGGCCTCAGTCTTGGTTCCAGCTACTAGCTCAGTGTGTAGTAGAGTCACCATGTTATTCTAGTCATGACTCTTCTAGTTTGATCAGTAGAGCCCTAGTTTATTTCTGTTTTTGTGGCATAAACCTCCTTTACTTTCAAATTCTCTTAGTTTGATGATAAATTATGATTATCCTGGTTGCAAGACTGCTCTGATCAAATTCTTTTTAAGTGTGGGAAGATTTTTAATCACTCACATTGTAACAATATTACCTTTCTCCCCATGAAGCAGGTAAAATTAATAGACTATGATTATTGTCTAGTATTCTCAATTTGCCTATTATTGTAAGTTATTGCACAAAGGTTTGTGTGTCCCTTTCTCAGATGATAAACAACACTGAAAAAGAGTAAATCTTGCGGCATCCCCAATATTTTTCCTGAACATTGGACTGATTTGCTTTTGATCTACTAGAGAATAGGAAAAAGAAAAAGCTCTATCCATTAGGGCCTGAAATTAGATAACAAATTTGTGAATGAATATAGTCATTAAACTTCTCTTAAATATTATAATAGAGTTAGAAGATAGGCCCATTATGTCTGCCCTAGAGAAAAAAATAACACTGCCATAACACCTTGTCTCCTGGAAGCACTACCTGGTTTGGCTAAGGTTGTAAGCAAACTGTCTGATTGCTTTCAAGATTCCTTTTCTTCCAGACTGGAGATCTAGACCACTCCAGAGTCAGCAATCACCTCCTGCAGAAGGTCAGCAAACATTTGCATTTTTTTTTTAAACATTTTCTTGGAGATGAAATAAATACATAGCAAACTCTCTTTCAAGCAATTTCTGCTCTTGAAAACAAGCTTCTATCAAATTACAACTTAATCATCATACTAACTTAAAGAGGAATTATTCCTATTATTGGTAGATTCTGAAAGAGACTACATTTAGTAGATGCATATTTAAGATTTGCTGAATGAATGAATGAAGCCTTATCCCTTAACTCCCCATATAGGACTTTATATATTCTGCCTAGGCAGCTGGAAAATGGTATCTTTGCATTTTCCTATCATGGGAGTCATTTAATACTGTTTTATTTATTTATTGAAGACTTTTAAAAATTTATTTATGGGGCCTCCCCGGTGGCGCAGTGGTTGAGCGCTGGGTTGCGAAGCTGCCCGCAGCCTTTGCGGCGCAGGTTCGATCCCCGGCTGCTCCCCGGCCGCCGGAGGAGGGTCCCACATGGCGCGCAGACCTCTCCTGCCGCCTGCTGCTCCCCTCAGCAGTGTACTTCGGTCCTTCTGCCTGCTCTGCTCCCCGCTCTGGCTCTGGTGAATTCTCTCACCCTCCCGTGCTTCTGACTGTACCCAGTACATGTATCAACAAACAAACAAATAAATAAATAAATTAAAAACATGCCTCTAAAAAAAAAAAAAGTCCCGTTTAAAAAAAAAAATTTATTTATGCATACAAGAACTGGGGTGTAGGCCAGAAGTGGGTGTGTGTGTGAGAGGATCCACCAGAGAAAGAGTGGGGAGCAGAACAGGCAGATCTACTGAAATTCACTGCTGAGGGGAGCAGTGGGCTTAAGAAAGAGAGGTTTGCTGCACTGGGTCAGTTCCCTGGCCGGTGGTCAAGCTCCTGCTGCAGGGACTAGCTACAGCTAGATAGTGCTGAGACTTTAGCCCCTGCGCAACCAGGGAGGCCTTTTTGTTTTTATTTATTTATTTATTTAAAGATTTATTTATTTATACAAGAACCGGGGTACAGGCCAGATGCATGGGAGGGTGAGAGGATTCACCAGAGACAGAGTGGGGAACAGAACTGCTGAGGGGAGCCGCGGGCGAGACAGGAGAAGTCTGCCACGCCATGTGGGTTGCTCCACGGGCAGCTGGGATCAAACCCACGCTGCAGGGGCTATGGACAGTTTCACAGTGCGGCACTCAACCACCTGCACCACCAGGGAGGCCCTGTTTTTATTTCTTAAAGGCCCAAAATGGAGTTGTTCATGCCAGGCCTACCAAGACTTAATACCTAACCTAAGTGCAGTTTCAGCCTCTCCTAAAAGTGGAATTTTAAACTAATCAATTGGGGCATTCCTGGTCAGTTAGTCAGGTGATCTGAAAGACCTTCTTGTCTTCCTGTAACCAAGGTAGCCATCTCTGAAATAATTCTTTTTTTTTTTTTTTTTTTTTTGCTAGTGATTTTGTCCTGCCCTTTTTCTTATTATAAAGACCTTTCATTCTGTACAATTTCTTGTAGCACCCTTCTACTTACTAGTTGGGATACTGCTTGATTCATGAATAATTTAATAAGACCAAGTAAATGATAAATATTAACTCAGTTGGATTTTTAAAATTTATGTATCTCTATCTATCTATCTATCTATCTATCTATCTATCTATCTATCTATCTATCTATCTATCTATCTATAGATTATGGATACCTAGGAATCCATTTTCATATTCAAAATAAATAGGCTCCTTTTCCTATCCCTTGGACCAGAATGAGGGGGCTTAGCTTGGGGCTCTTTCTATTTGCATTAGTGCAACTTTAGGTGCAGCATTCTTAGTTTAGTGTTACCTTTGATTTTAAGACTAGAAAATGGGGAAAACAGGAGAAAACTCACCACTGAATCACTTTCTTTTTTTTTTAAAGATTTTTAAAATTTATTTTTATACAAGAACCAGGGTACAGGCCCGATGTGCAGTAGGGTGAGAGGATTCACCCGAGACAGAGAAGGGAACAGAACAGGCAGACCGACGAAATACACTGCTGAGGAGAATAGCGGGTGCAACAGTAGAGGTCTGCCGTGCCATGTGGGACCGCTAGGATTGAACCCGCGCTGCAGAGGCTGTGGACAGCTTCACAGCGCTGCGCTCAACTGCTTGCGCCACCATGTTCACCACTGAATCACTTTTACTTTGAGTTCTAGTTTTCTTCTTCCAGTCGGTCTATCATTTAGTTTTTAAGAGTCCCCAGATAATGGCATCGTGTTTTATCTGGGTAGTGTTTTTAGTTGTATTCAGTGGAAAAGACTGAATGTGTTTATTTCACCTTAACTGGAACTACTTTCTGGAATAATTATCCTGTAAGTAAACCTCAAAGGTTTTAGCTACTTGTATGGGCAACACTCTATTCTTGAGTCCTTTTTATTCAGTTGATTAGAGCTCAGCACATTTCTCCTTTGCTCACTTTTTCCAATCCACTAACAGGGATAAACAAGGGGTAATTTAAAAAATTTAGTAACTTCACATGTAATTTTCTCGAATATGGGCATAAGACACTAATAGTAGAGGGAGTTGCTACCTTACTGAACAAGCATGTACTTCAAGACAAATCTGGAGTTTCTAGAAAAATTTTTCTTTATTTATTGCACATTTAGGTTTACAAGTGGAAGAATAACCTGAGAGGCATTAGAGCAGTGGATCTGTCATTGTAAAACTTCATTTTCTAGTAGTCTCTAGACTACTAGCCTCCATAGCCTATATACGCAGACAGGTTCTTTTTTTAAGAATTGACTACTGCGGGCCTCCCCCGTGGCCCATCGGTTGAGCACTGGGTTGCAAAGCTGCCCGCAGCCTCTGCAGTGCCGGTTCGATCCCTGGCTGCCGGTTCGATCCCTGGCTGCCGGTTCGATCCCTGGCTGCTCCCCGGCCACCAGAGGAGGGTCCCAAATGGTGCGCAGACCTCTCCTGCCACCCGCTGCTCCCCTCAGCAGTGTACTTCGGTCCTTCTGCCTGCTCTGCTCCCAGCTCTGGCTCTGGTGAATTCTCTCACCCTCCAGCGCTTCTGACTGTCCCAGTGCTTGTATAAATAAATAAGTAAATCTTTGGAAAAAAAAAAAAGAATTGACTACTGGGCTTGTGCAGTGCTTAGTGGTTAACATTACATAGACCATGTGGCTGATCTTTATTTTGAAAGTATTTTTACAGTTTCAAAATACATCTACAGAGAGGGCTTATAATACATTCCCCAGTTAAAAGAGATTTGCCCATAAAAGAGATACTTCCCTCTCACTCCTAATAGGGCATGTCTCTTGGGTATAAAAAATGCAATAAATACAATTAGAAAAATTTTTCCACATGTATACAACTACAATAAAAATACTGCCTTGAATTTGTCAAGGAGGGGGAAGGAGAGAGTGAGGGCAAGAGCGAGCCGGCAGAGAAAGAGAAGATTATACCACTCAGTTCACTGTGTCTTTTTTAGGTTTAAGCAATAATCATTTACTGCAGTTTCATCTTAAAACAGTAGATGGCTCCTTAGTCTAGAAAAGGTTGAGAAAAACATTTTTTTTAAGATCTGTGTAGAAATACAGTTCAAGTAGGGAAATCTAGACCTGGGTCCTTTTACTAGAAAAGCAATCTATACTTACATTTTGAGGCAGTCAGAAACATATTCTTGGAATTTCCCAGAATTGTAGATTTGGTGATGGTGTTGAGGGGCAATCAGAGATGGTAAGGAGTCTTAAAATCCATTGGTTATGGGATCTAGAATCATATTGCTGGTATTCTTGAGGGTCAGGAGATGCTTCAATGAGCACCAATCAATAACTGCAACATAAAACAGGAAGAATCACCATCGAATAAGATTTTCTGATCAACAAGCAACTATAAACCAGAGACACACTACGGGGATGTGGGGAGGGAAGGGGAAAGGAAGGACTAGGGTCAAAATAAGGGGTGGGGTGCAATTGTATGGGGAATATAACCAAAATGATAATGCATACATTGTGCAAAAATGAAAAATGATGTAAGCATTATATAAAATAAAATATTAACATTTAAAAAAATAAGATTTTTTGAAATAGTTGGGAGTTATTATTTGGGAGGAGGAGGGAATGGGAAAAGAGAGTAAGGGATTTGGTAATATTAACAAAATAAAACCTTCCCAAAATACTGTGGATTTATTCTAAATAAAAATAAAGATACTGGGCAGAATCTTTGGCTTTAGTGCCAATGTGATGACAAGAGCCTTATCTTGTAAGATGACCTTGTAACAGAAGCTTGCAGAGTGGTAGTTAGCTCCCTTTTTGAAGAGGGAGTAAGTGGAAGACTCTTGTATTGCTAGAAATGAACAACAGGGAGGCTTCTTGGAAGACTGGGAATGGAAGTTGTGTCTATAATGAAAGTAATGGAATGTTTTGACCTTAACTCAAGTCATTTACTTTTTTTTTTTTTTTTTTTATAGAGGCATGTTTTATTTGTTTGTTTATTTGCTTGTTTTGTTTGTTCATACATGCACTGGGTACAGTCAGAAGCGCGGGAGGGTGAGAGAACCCACCAGAGCCAGAGCGGGGAGCAGAGCAGGCAGAAGGACCGAAGTACACTGCTGAGGGGAGCAGCGGGCGGCAGGAGAGGTCTGCATGCCATGTGGGACCCTCCTCCGGTGCCGGGGAGCAGCCGGGGATCGAACGGCGCCGCAGAGGCTGCGGGCAGCTTCGCAACCCAGCGCCCAACCGCTGCGCCACTGGGGAGGCCCCACAAGTCATTTACTTTTTACTTGCTTCTCTATCCTGATAACAAACATCGTCTTGATCCTCTGCCCTAAAATTTTTCTCTACCTCCTAACTTTTGCTCACTCATAGTTTGGTTTCCTGCATAATTTATGTTTGACTACGGTCTGTCATGATTTTCTTGTCCAATTCCTACATTAGACCATCTACTTCAGCTTCACTTTGTTAACTCTTTCTCTCTTTTCTAAGTTAAAATTCTGAAGGAAGAGAAATTGATTAGTTGATCTTCATTTTTGCCCCAGGCCATGTTAAATTTTGTTAGCTACTTTGTGGATTAACATGCACTTGGGTCAGCTGTCTACCACATATCTGACAAGGATATGAAGCAAGGCCAGTTGCTTCTGCGTGGTGAGGGACAGAATAGGGGATCCAGAAGAGTCATAATCTAAATCTGTTGTCATGCATCTAGGACACTTTAACATTTGTCTCAGGTTTTTTTCTTTCTTTTTTTAAAAGTGAATTTAAAAAGTTAGTACTTATTGTGATGGACATGGTTATACACTGCCCAGATCGCCCTCCAAGGCAGGATTTACTGCCCATCTCAGGCACACAGTCAAAAGATGCCTCCTGTATTTGCTTGAATTGTAGAGAACAATTTTGTCCAAAGTCACAATTTTTCTGGGGTAGTCTGTGTCAACTAGTGACTGACTGAGGTGGGCACATAAAAGTTTCAGTTTTATCCCAGTGGAGAAGATCATTCTGACAGGTAATATTTGCTCCAGAGCTCTTTGCCACATTGATAAGGGGTTTGTTAGTTCAGCAATTTGACAGCTTTTGCCAAATCTGCTTTATTTTTTTAAGTTCTTTTTTTTTTTTAAGATTTATTTATTTATGCATTCAAGAACAGGGGCATAGGCCAGAGTTGTGGGGGGTAAGAGGATTCACCAGAGACAGAGTGGGGAACAGAACAGGCAGATCGACTGAAATACACTGCTGAGGGGAGCAGTGGGCAAGTCAGGAGAGGTCTGCTGCGCCATATGGGTATTGATCTCGTGCTGCTGTGGCTGCGGATAGCTTCATAGGTTGCATCTTAACCCTTTGTGCCACCAGGGAGCTCCCAAATCTGCTTTCTTAATCTTCCCTTTACAGGTGTTTATCAACAGTAAAGATCCTGCACCCAAATTTCCATCTCAGCATCTACTTTCAGAGAACTTAACTGGTGATGACTGGCAGTAGGAGTGATCTGAAAAATAGTGATAAAGTGGGATTTGGAGCTGCATCACATATCACCTTGCTAGCAAAGGGGAACTCATTATTGGCAGGTACTTGGAACACAGGCAACCTCTGACATTTGTTAAAAATCACCAGTGGTGAATTGGGAGGGTGCATAAGCAGGAATGTACTTGCAGATGAAATGTATCAAGTATGTGAAAATTATGAAAAAATAAATATAGGGGAAAAAAGGATTGTATGATTGTTGTTAAGAGCTATTGATGCTCTATAGAAAGGAAAGGAACATCTGGGCCTCCCCGGTGGCACAGCAGTTGAGCGCTCGGTTGTGAAGCTGCCCTCAGCCTCTGTAGCACCGGTTCTATCCCGGCCGCCGGCAAGGGTCCCACATGGCAAGACAGACCTCTCCTGCCGCGCCTGCTGCTCCCCTAGGCAGCGTACTTCCTCAGTCTGCCTGCTCTGTTCCCCGCTCTGGCTCTGGTGAATTCTCTCACCCCTCCGTGCTTCTGACTGTACCCAGTGCTTGTATAAATAAATAAATAAATCTTTAAAAAAAAAAAAAGAAAAGGAACTTCTGAGTGTAAGTAATATACACTTGAAAGTGAGGTAAAAGCTGGAATGCTTACATTATGTTATTATGGCCACACACTCCTCAGATCATGGACAACAATCTTGTATCACTCAAATTGGTGGTGTTCTTAGAGGACTGTGATTAGGAGAGGAGGAGCAAAAGTTACGAACTAAATTATATTAAGATTTGGAATTGTTTATCATTTCAATTATTTTATTCAATTGTCCCAGATATCTCTCCTATATGACTTTTATATTTCTCTTTGTGGATCATTCTCATCAGCTTAGAAACACGGTTTCTTCCATCTGAAAAAATAAACCTCTTAATTTCATTTTCCCTGCCAATTACCACCCGATTTCTTTGCCTTTATTGGCAAACTAAAAGGGTTGTTGACTTTTATTGTTTATAATTCTTCTATATTCCTTCCTTAACTCACTCCTCACTCAGGGATTTCTTTTCCTATCACTCCAGGGAAACTGCTCTTGATAAGAGCATCAATAAATTCTAATTGCAAAATTAAGTAACTATTTTTTAATCTTTATCTTACTTGCATAGAAGCAGCACAAGACATAGTTGATTATTCCTCTCTTTGATATACATTGATCACCTGGGTCTGCAAACACTTGATTTTCTTTTTTATTTCCTACTCTCAGTCAGCTTTGCTGCTTTGTCCATTCTTCCTATCTTTCAATATTTGAAAAATTCAGTTCTTAGCCTTCTTTTCTGCCACAGAGAAGATGAAATTGTTGCATTGTGAAGACGCCATGTCAAAAATTTAGTTCCTATTAGATTATTATTTTATATATCTAAATATTACATAAGCATTTGCAATAAGAAAGTGAGACTCCAACCCCAGAGTTTCACATCTACTCTCCTTACTCTTAAAACTACTATGTCTATACTGTTTTACTGTGGGTGTTTATCAGAAATACAACCTGAATTTAATGGATACATAAACAAAGAAAACCATTTTTTAATCAAAAAAACTTTTTAATATATACATGATAGGACAACACAGTATTTCATTCCTTTGTATGAGTCATAATTTATGTAATCATTGGATTTTCACATTGTTTCAATTTTTATTGCAAATGTTACTATGATTAGCCTTAGAAAGGCAGTTTATGCATATGTGAACATATATGTAGGGTATATTTATATATAGTTGAAGTTGCTGATTTATAGAACACATATATTGCTGATTTATAGAACACATATATAATTGGGCCTCATTATTAGCAGAATTGGTATTTGTGAATTTACTTGCTAAGACTTATTTTTAATTCTCAAATCAATCCTTATGTTCTTTTTTTTTTTTTTTTTAATAAATTTTATT